CCCCAAACACTCAGTCATTCACAATGCTGTGGAACTCTACTTCCCCAAACACTCAGTCATTCACAATGCTGTGGAACTCTACTGCCCCAAACACTCAGTCATTCACAATGCTGTGGAACTCTACTTCCCCAAACACTCAGTCATTAACAATGCTGTGGAACCCTACTGCCCCAAACACTCAGTCATTAACAATGCTGTGAAATTCTACTGCCCCAAACACTCAGTTATTCACAATGCTGTGGAACCCTACTTCCCCAAACACTCAGTCATTAACAATACTGTGGAACTCTATTTTCCCAAACACCCAGTCATTCACAATGCTGTGGAACTCTACTTCCCCAAACACTCAGTCATTAACAATGCTGTGGAATTCTACTTCCCCAAACACTCAGGCATTCACAATGCTGTGGAGCAGTTTCCCCTGACACTCCAGGGGCCCAGGACATGGAATGGACTCAACAGAGACTGGTTACGAGAAAGTTCCTAACAGGGATTTTAAGACCTGGCACTGATCTGACTTCTAAATGTGCTCTCTACTATTACTCTTTCTTATGTCTTGGCTCTCTTCAACTGTCGATGTGCTGAGATAATTTAGTAGAATATGCATCTGCAGTATTTTTCTTCGCACAGAATAGCTGATCCCATCTTTGTATGCTTCTTTGCTTCAGGTATTTCTATAGGGAAATGGAAGTCAGTGACTCTTTAGTCTTATGTAAATGCCTGAACCCCAGAGCAAATCCAACACAAAGTGAGCTGCCTTGGAACAGGCTCTGAGTCCTGGTGGCCCCATGAACATCAGTGGGGGACTGTGCTCCCAGGTTTTCCAGGGCTGGTTTTTTCAGAGCTGGTCTCCAGGCCAGCTTTTTCTTTAAAGGTACCCCTGGGTGGATTTGAACTTCCAACCTTTCCTTTAGCAGCTATGTGTTTGAACCACTTGCACCACCCAGGGACTCTGTTCTTAAGTACAGAGACACATAGGAATGTATACGTAAGAACCATCATCTGCATAGAGTTTCAGAGAGAATGTACTTTTTTTTTTCACTTAGACACGTTATTATTAAAAGACTTATTACCGTAATTGCCCTTGATTGGCCAGTAATTTTGTGGGTGTATTCAGGACTGATTCTTCACAGATTTGTAGACCCTTCTCAAAAAGATTTTCATTTATAAGTGAGGAGGGGATAACTACTGGTAGAATAGCATATAATTTTTATATGTAAACTCAATGGCCAAGACCTCACATGAAATAGGCTAAAGCTACATCTAAACCTACATTGGCTAGAACGTTCTTCATATAAAGCCTGGCCCTAATTCACCAGAAGCTTCAGTCAATTCCGAAGTACCCTTGAATCAGGGGCTTTTCGATCTAATGAAGCTTGTTGATATTAAGTCAGTTTTGAATGAGAACAACCCCCTATAACAGCAGGGAAAACTGCCTGATCCGGCACCATCTTCACAATCATTCTCATGTCTAAGCCCAAGGTTGCAGCCGCTGTGTATTTTGAGTGTCTGCCAAACGGAAGGGGTCACCGTCCAGCACTATGTCAAACAAGGTCCTACTGCTATCCCACTGGTCCAGAGACAGATTGCCAGGTCCTCCTTCCGACTCTGTCTTAGTCTGGAAGCACCAAGGAAACTGTCCACCACTGGTAACCCTGTTGGTAGTTGAAATACCAGCAGTGGTGGCATGGCTTCCAACAGGGGCTAATTAAGCTACTGTTTTACAGATAAATATCTATATAAACACATATATAATAGCATATATTATATCATACAATAGCACATATTATATAATATATAAGCTATGTGCTTCCCTGTTTGAAGAACTTTATTAGTAGTAACACCTAGATTCACTGGACATCTTTCTATTTATGCTACTCTCCTATTGAAAAATACATTAAAATATTATCCCTTCTTTTATCCTGAAAACGATAGACTATTCAAAACTATTAATATTATTTATAATAGAGATAATCTATAAGAATAATATTATAAGCTTTTAACAATATACTGTTCAAAGAGGGTAGATAATATTTGCAATTGAAGACAGACTCTTAATTGGAATAAAATGTAACCCAATAAAGACAAAGCCGATGAGTGTTACACTATAATCATTTGAACTTATCCTGAGAAGTTATACCACAAGAATAGTTTCTACACAGTATTATTGTGGTTCCTTAGTTTAAAACAGCAAATTTCTGCCTAACTAATGAGTAACAGAGAGGAACTAACGACAGGGTGAGGAAAAAAAAAAGAATGACTGTAGAAGAAGGGGCTAGAATCCCTAATGCCAATCAAAACTGCCTTTGAAGCTACTCTGAAGAAACAAGTGATTCTGCCTCACAAGGAGCAGAGATGGGCCTGTGCACTGGCCGGCACCGGGCAGGTCTGAGGCCTCCGAGGCTGCCTGCTAACTTAAGGTCATCCTAGTTCTATGACAGACCTTAGTTTGAATAAGTAGCTATACATGCTAGCTCAATCTCTGCTGGGCTCACCATTTCCTACCTTTATCATCAATATAACAAATGGAATTTATAGCTTAAAAATGGGTACTTTCCAGGGTTTGGGTAGAAGTCAATTTTGTAACAAGACTTTCTCTGTTCACGAAAAGAAAATGGAATCAATATTTAAAAGAGGAGAAAGAGGTGCTGGCAGGTTAAATCATTTGGCTACTTCACTTACCTTGGGAATTCTATAGTCCTGAGCATACACGCGCGTGTGCCGCAATGGTTACAGCACTGAGCTGAGTGAAAGCTGGGGCATTTGGACGCAGCAGCTGCTTTTTGGGAGAAAGATATGACACTCTGCTTCCGCAACTCTTTACAGTCTGAGCAACTCTATGCATGCAGTCTTCCTGTTTTTCAATCGTTTTATCAGGGGCTCCTACAACTCAGCACAATCCATACACACATCAACTGTGTAAAGCACATTAGTACATTCATTGCCCTCCTCATTCTCAAAACATCCGCTCTCCACCCAAGCCCCTGCCTATGCATGCATTCTATCTGTCCTAGCGGGTTACTCTGCGCTGAAATCAACTCAGGCAGCGGGAGTGGCTTTGAAGTTGAAAGCAGAGTAATGAGCCATTTGTCTGATCAAATATTATATAACCAGAGGGAATTATTTTTATATCCTACAATGTACAATATGATAGGAGGCATCCCTCCTGTGTTTCTTTTCTATATACCTGGAGGACATAAAGCTTTTAGGATTTATTAGGCAGAAGAACATATGTGAAACTCAAATTTGTATTAAAAGCCTTTACACGAATCCACTGACCCATTTTTTCTCAAGTAAAAAGAACAGCTGGATTTTGCTTCGTTGGTTAATAGCAAGCACAGTTGAATTGTTATATTCATATAACACAGTGAAGACTACATTTAAGTTGCACAACTGACCTTCTTTTCTATAAAATATAGACATAGCCTATATCACAACTAGTTGAATTATGGGACCTTTTGAAAAGGAGAATCCTGTTGCTTTTCTTGCACACAAATCAATTTGGATCTCTAAGACTTCTTTGCATTTCCTTGCACATTTGTACACGTGACTTTAATTTCCTTTTTACTTGCAAGTATCTGGTCATTTTACAGATGCACAAGTGTTAAGACAGCTTTCCGTAAGAAAACAAGCAAACTCATACATTGAGACAATGTTTTTCAGAGACAGGAACATAAGCTTTCTTTGCAAAGAACTAACTATCCTCTATCGAACCATCCCAAGCCATGGCACGGAGCTCAAGTTTTGCCTGTCCAGCAACAACTTGAGATGTTTGGACTGAATTCACGTCACTCACCTGTTTGGCTAAGTTGGGATGTGCTTCTACTCCTTCGAGACACTATGGCAACGACTTTGGCACTGAGGCTGGATCTCCTTTTCTTGCCGCCGGCTCCCACCATGCCCACAGCCGTGTCCGACTGGCTGCCGTCATTGCGCTCCAGGGCATACATCTCTCCACTCACGCTGGTGCTCTTTGTGATGGCTCTTCCTGAACTCCCCATCCGTCTGCCTTGCATTTTAGGGGTAAATGAACTATATTTACAAAGTAAAAACATATATGCACACATAAATTACATGTCAGCACAGCAGAAACTCTAATTCTATTTTATCTTGAAATAATCCAGGCATATTTTCAGGCGGGGGGGAGAACACCATTTGAATAGACATCCTACAGCTATTATCTATGTATTACATAATACATTTGTATATGCAAGTATTCTATGTGTCCAATCCAACATGGGCTTCTGTGTGATTTCCATTGCCTTCTACAATATGGTTTCCTGTGAATTCTCATGGTCAAATCCTACTGCATTTAGATACACCTACATCTTCTACCTCTCCTTAAGTACACTTGAGTAACCTGCTTTTCTAATAGTCTATTGCAGTGCTCTGCAGGAGGAAATGGAAAACGTCAGGATTTGGTCAATTTCATAGGCATGCTGTTCATGATTTGAACACCTGATACTGAGACTCAATAGTTTTTCCAACTCTTATGTATCTCCTTAACATGTCCCGTAAGTACTTATTGAAAACTTTTCTTTTGATGATTTTACTTTAGCTATTACAGTACCATGTAGATGAACGAATGTGTACTTTTTATTCTCCCCATTCTTTCTAAACAATAAAATTCTATGGCAACTATAAATTGGCATCTTTAAAATCCTTCCACAAATATAGTGTCATAAAATTGTGAGCAACGTTCTGTAGCTTATTGAGAAGTTTAAAATAAGGTGAAATATCTTCTATCGTATTCTGATCATATAAAAGCATTCAAGGTGAGTTAGGAAAATTCACAAAACTTTTAAATTGGTATTTAACTACAGTAATGAGTTTTTCTATAGTGTTGACAATAATACTAGGAAAGAACTAGGAAAATCTGTCAGAATTAGGGAAACTTGTCAGTCTGGTGATTACTACATTAGAGGATGCTAAGGTAAGAAATTATATTACTCATGCTTTTGTGAACTATTATAATTTACCCTAAAAAATTAAATCACTTGTTTAAAAGCTTAATAACATTCTTATATAAGGGTCCATACACCTTGCAAAAGAATGCAGAAATAAAATACTGTTCGGTGAGAACATGCTAAGGCATCTTCAATACTTCTGTTTGTCCAAATTACTAGTTTATTGTCGGGAATGGGTTATGGGAAGTTCTCATCAATCCAAAGGTCAATGTTTTAGCACTTATTTATTTTGTTGCTAACTTCCATAATTATACCCACATTGCAGCCAGGGAAGAAACCTAAAAATAATTTGCAGCTAATGAATCCCACTGCCATCAATTGAGAGCCCTGGTTACACATTGGTCTGCACAAAACCACCAGCTGACCTTGATGTTTTCAACTCCCCTGAAGAGTTACAGTCTTAGAAACCCCCAGTGGTCGTTCTACCCTATCTTACGGGTGGCTATTAGTCAGAATTGACGCAATGGAAATGTTTGTTTGGTTTGGATTAGCCGTCAAGTCATTCCGACTCATCCTGACCCCAAAGGACAGAGCAGACTGCTCCGTAGGGTTTTCTGAGACTGTCAATCTTTCTGAAGGCAGAACGGCTCATCCCATGGACAGCTGCTGGGTCTGAAGTGCAGACCATGTGGTCAGTAGTCAAATACTTAACTAATGACACCACCAGGGATCCTTCACGCTAGTAAATAGTTCCCATAAACTAGGTTCAAATGATTTCAGTCATGGCTGACAAAGCAAAACCTGAACAGACTTCAATTTTTAAACTTCAGTGGTCCAGAAGGGAAAAAATTACTATCCCTCCCTTGGAACGGAATATTTGGAAGAGGCTTACGAGCTCTTTTAGAAACCTGACGTAGAACACACGCTCAAAGGCTGCAAGGCTGGCAGTCATCTTTGAGCAGCATGGCTGAGTCCCAGCCAGGTAAGAGATTTGGTGGCGATGCAATTCATATGCTGCCTTTGTTTCTAAGAGAAGATTGTGGATCCGGCTTGAGCCTGTGAGGATTTCCTGCTCAGTTATCCCTCTGGTTTACTCACATTTAAATTCTGGTCTGTCTCAAAAACTATGCCTAAACTACTACATAGTCCTGATCAATGTACACTTCAATGGTACATTGAAATGGTTGCTAGTTATAACATTGTTATGCAAATACAAAGTGAATAACCACTATTCTTTCTGTTTTTATTTTATTTTTGTATTCTTTCTTAATACAAAATAATTTTAGGTTATGTTAAAGACTGTCAAAATGACTTACAGAGTTCTAACTTTTATATGTGTTTTATAAAATGTAGACTATTTCTTCGGAAGTAGTTTTTTTTTAATTAATCCAATTACAGTATGCACAGAAACAAAATGTCAACTTTGCACACGTGACAAAATCTATACAAGACATTAAACACTGAAATTGGTATATACTTTTCATAAGCATTTTAATATATTTTCTTTATATTTGTGATGTAATAGGTTACGCATTTGCCTGCTAATCACAGTAGTAGTGGGAACCTACCAGCGCAGGAAAAAGATGAGTTTTCCGTTCACCTAAAGCTTGAGAGCCCCTGGCACAGTGAGTTTGTTACCAGCTGGGCTGCTAGTCCTAACCACGGAAGAAAGAGGAGACTTTCTACTCCCTCCCAGGGTTACAGTCAGTCTCAGAAGCCCACGGGGTCAATTCCCCTGTCCCGCGGGGTTGCTGTGCATCAGAATGGGCTCAAGCACACTGAGTTTCCTTTTGGGTTGACACTCCAGGGAGCAACGCAATTATGGTCACTGTGAGTTGGAATCACCTCAGTGGTAATGAGTTTGCTTCCTATGTTTTTCATGCAATATGGGGGTAATGCTTTTAAAACTTCAGACATGAACTCAATATTAAAATTGTAGCTAGATGCTGCAGTTTATTATTTTAGAAAATGTGGTCCATGCATAAACTAAATCCTTTATTTTCATTTTAAATCAAAATATAGAACTTTCTTTGATTTAGGCAGAAGATTTAGTTGTTTTAGAAACAGGTTTGTATCAATTCTCATTTAGCATTTTCCCTTAATTATAGCTGTCAACACAGATTATGGATGCATTATAACCTTAATGAAATTACTGCAGAAATTTTACTTTGAATTGTGTCATTTATATCAAATTGAAACTACAATGCAAAGTGAGATTTTTGTATCAGCCTGTGTAGATGTATCTGCACACACACCCCCCTCCCTCGCTCTACATACCAACCACTGCCACAGAGTTGATTCCAGCACACTAGGGCTAGAGGACAGAGTAGATTTAACTGCTCCATATGATTCATGAGGCAATATATCATAATAGGAGCAGGCAGCTTCATTTTTCCCCATGGAGGGCCTGTGGGTTTGAACCACCCACCTTGGGATTAGCTGTCCAATGCTTAACGCACTGCATTGATATTGTTGCATTTTTAAAAAAATATAAAGCAAAAATTACCTCAGTTTTTTCTCACATGATTGTTTGCTAAGGTATATGTGTACATTTTTAAAATAAAATGTATTTCCAATATTATTTTGAAATGCTACTCTCTTTAAAAGTCTTGTTTTTTCCCTAGTTATAAATTCAGGATTGTTAACTGAGTTATATGAGTAATTATTCCAAAAGCTGTCATCTATAATCAAATACATGTCATACAGATATTTCTAGATAGCCAGTTCCTCTGACCCCAAATCTAAAATACTTCACTTTAACGCCTTTAAAAGTATTCAAACAATATTAAGTAAAAATACCAACCGAACGTTTCTGAAATCATTTGACTCTCAGGAAATCCACTGGATCCAAAGGAGCATAATTTGGCATGGCAAACAAGGTTGCTTTTGACATGTTTTACTGCTGTGCTGTCTTGAGAGTTTCTTTTCTACCATTCATAGCACCCGACAGCACAGAGTGGAACTGCACCCG